GATGCCACATTCCTTCTTGTACAGCCCAGCATCGCGGATGATCTGTTCTGCATACAGATTGAAAAGGTATGGAGACAGAAACATCCCTGACGGACTGCTTTCTTGATTTTGAACCATCCATTGTCTCCCTGCTCTGTTCTGACAACGGCCTCTTGGTCCAAGTATAGGTTTCACATTAGAATGATCAAGTGTTCTGGGATTCCCATTCTTCTCAGAGTCAGTCACAGTTTGTTGTGATTTATATAGTCAAAAGCCTTTGCATAGTCAATGAAGCACAGATAGACATTCTTCTGGTATTCTCTGCTTTCTGCCAAGAACCATCTTACATTAGCTATAATATCCCTAGTACCATGACCTCTTCTAAATCCAGCCTGCACATCTAGCAGTTCTCTGTTGACATATTGTTCCAAACATTTTTGGATAATTTCAGCAGAATCTTGCTTGCATGTGACATCAATGATACTGTTCGATAATTTCCACACGCTGTTGAGTCACTTTTCTTTGGAATGGGAACAAATGTGACTAGCCTCTATTTGTGTAGTAACGTCATATATAGGGTAACACTTTGCTTATGTTGCCTTTACTATACAGAACACAAAAGGAGTCAACAAGATTACCATAAATTTGAGCTTCATTTGAATTTATGACAGGCTGAGTGGAAAAGGAAAGATAGCAGCAAGTTAAGTGAGCAAAGTTCAGACTTTAAGATATGCAAGATAACTTTGCAAAGTCTATCAAAATGCTTTCTTAGGCAGACAGATGTTCAATTGCAGAACCATTCTAATAGTAAGGCTACATTTTATCTAGTTATTCTGGTTTTTAAAAAAACCCCAGAAATTAAAAGTCATTTAACATTTAAAGAGTCCACTAGAATTCACAGGTAATCTGGCTCCAGTGGTGAGTCTCAGACCCTGCTGTGATCCTTGTGTGGTGACTACACAACAGGAGGTGAGGTGGGGAGGTGGGGGATATCCTGAACATTTTTAGCTTTTGTTCATTGAACTTCCAACTCACAGTGCTCAGAATGAAAAGGAGAATAAGAACTGTGTGTGGAATTATTTATATGCATGGTCTCATGTAGTCAGCACAATAACCTTATAAAGTTATTATTATTATTCCATTTGTAGAGAACAATGAGGAAATTTTCTCAGAAAAGGTAAATTAATATAGCTGAAATTTGAAGCTAGGTCTATTTGATTCCAAAGTCAAACTCTTTCCCCTATAAGAGTGGAAATAGAAACTAAGGTTTTTAAAATGCATTGACTAAACTGAAAACTCATTATGAGCCTCATCCAACAGGCATAAAAACTGAAGGGATACAGGCTCAAGAATTTTTCAGTGTCAAATGTTCATTTATCAATAGATGAACAACCAAAGAAACTATAGTATACTCACACAATGGAGTATCAGGCATCACTAAAAAGAATCAAGAAATCATTAAAAACTGCACAACATAGAAGAATCTGGAACAAATTATGCTGTGTGACACAGCACAGGAAATGTTTATACATGGATAGAAGAAATCTTGGAGGTCTAACCGGGATGTAAAGGGAGGACGAGGGAAGTAAATTAATAGATAAGCTGGGTAAAGGGAGAGGCAGTACACATTAGACACTGTTGTTACATGCACCAACAACCAGAGCCAAAGAAGAAGAAATAGATGATTTCTACCAACTTTTACAGTCGGAGATAGATCGAACATGCAATCAAGAT